TTTCCTTTACTATCGTTCAAGGCCCTTCCCATTTAGGATTTATTTTTGTAACGTGCTTTACCTACACAAATGGTCAACGGGGTTTCATTTACTTTTAAGACCCTTCCCATTGATAGGTTTTTTTTCTCTTGATTTCGTCTCATATATTTAACTTTAAGAACACTTCATCTCTTATTATGCAAGTCGCTTTATATTTGCTTATAAGCGTCAACAATCTTATTATCAGGTAATTCATAAAACATTGCCCATGTAAAAAAATTATCAACAATGTGACAATATTCTAAATACCGTCGTCGTAAAAAAATTTTCTTGCATCACAAAGGTAGGCATTTTGAAAAAAAAAATGCTATCCTACCTGTACTTAATTTTTTTTTCAAAGTCTTACTCGTAGGACTGAAAATTAAATTGTCCAACAATTGGATAATTCGTCTTCACATCGGCACTTGGATTCGGAAGGAGGGGTTCCGGCACAGAATTATAGTCGTTATTTTAAAATACGTATATGAAATTGTTTCTTTTTTCGGCCACCAAAGGACGGGATGGTAGTAGTCGTATCGAATGTCCTATTTGCTCAAGTTTTTAGAGTTTTTAGTTCTTTTCGTCTGTTTCAATGGACTCGCGGTCGGCACAAATTTGTTAAAACGTCTTAGTCCTAGTTGGTCCTGCCCAGGGAGCGTCAGGCCTCGTCGATCGTCTGACGGCTCTGGTCTGTGTCTCGCCTGTTTACAAGTCCTCTGTTCGAAAATCCAGCGGGGGATTGTGCACTAATCCTCGTCTGGGGGGGTGACTTAGAGAACTGTTAAAGGCTATTTCCATCCTTCTGAATCTGACCCCATTTCTCCACCATTTATTATAAAAAAAATAAAAGCTATTCTGTTCTTGTTTCTTTTTTTCCATAATCAGATTATTTCATTGACTCGAACTTAATTGCGTAAACTCGCTTGGCTTGTGGAGGTACCGGGATGGCTCAATTGCGCTCTCTCTTTTATTCTATAATTCCTTTTAAATTTGTTGACCAGAGCGGCTGCCATGGTTGGGGAGTGGAGATGTTACCCAACCTGTATAAAATGCAACCAAGACAGTCAAGATTCAGCTTTCCACTCTTTATTAAAGTAAACAATCTATTTCTCATATTTATAATTACAATAAATAATTTTACAAAATATACTAAACCTTATTAGAAATATGACTACTTAAAATATAAAAAGTTTAACTTGTAAATATAATAAGCCATGTGAAAATTGAAATAATTTTGATTAAAACGTGCGCAAGTCTACAAAATAATTTCACCTGTATAAAATGCTACCAAGACAGTCAAGATTCAGCTTTCCACTGAAGTCCTGTCTATCCCGGCCAGTCATTTTATACTAGGTGTACCTTTGTCGATTTATATCTCCATATTTGTAACTCCTTCAAAATTTACAATAATTACTTTAAATTTTTATTTGAATTTTAATTACTATTATTCTGACCTTGAGTACTTTTAAAATTTCTAATGCACTTTTAAAATAATTTCCAATCGTTTGCATAATCCTTAAATATTATGTGTTGTAGCTAATTTATTTAAATATCTGACCTCTGGTCACTTCAATACCATTGGTTCCTTATTCACCCTTACCAAATCCATATTTTCATAAACAAGCAAGTAGCAGCTGCATTCCCATGATCTATTTCGTGGGACCGTCCGATTTAAAAGTTTAATTCCTATTGATCAGCCTCTTTAATTACTTTTATCTGTCATGCTCGCGTTCGTTATCTTTTGACAGACTAAAACTGCAAACTCATAAAATTTGTTTCATTCTTATATTTACTGCAATTTTTATTATGATAGGTTTCTGGAAGGTTTTTTTTCCAAAGTCTAAGATTTGCTTTATACAGTCAGGGTCTCAGCTTTCAGTTTTTATCGTATGCAGCAGCTTTCAGTTTTTATCGTATGCAGAAATAAATTCGAACTTTCCTGGACTATTTTAGTCATCATGACCTTCACATCCAATAGTGTTATGAAATAATTTAGGCTTACTAATCCATCCCTTTGTTTATTCATAAATTGCTTTTAACCTTTTTAGATAAAAAAATATGATAATTTAAACTCCATTCAGATTCAAAATACATCTATAGGCAAAATTTGACAGAAATAGAAATTAATTCAATTTTCAATATAGTAAGAATTTTACTCAGAAAGAAGTCTTTTTAGCCGGTGAGGGTTATCCCTCATTCTTCGATGAAATTAAATGATAGAACATTTTTCAAGTCTAGTATGAATATGAGACAAAACTCAGAATTCGGGCAGTTTTATGATAAACTTCACTTCTTTTCAAATTTCTAATTGTAAATTATGGAGATGGAGTGTATTGTTAATTCAAGTTTAAACTTTTGAGATGGAGAATACCAAATTGCACGGAAAACAATTTTAAGACATTAGTTAAAACTTAATTATTCAAAATGTACATGTTTGTATAAAAGTATATTTCTTGTTCTTGTGATATGAGTAATTTTTTAATGTTTGAAGTCTTAACCCCCCCCCCCCCCCCCCAACACAAGGTGGCTATAAAAATATATTTTACTGTAGTGAAAACGCTTCCATGTTGTAATCATTTTTATCCAGCACTGATTTTCATATATGAAACAAAATAAAAACTGTTGAAAATTAAGGGGGGGGGGGTCTAAATGAAAATGGGTATAGGTATCACACCGGTAATAGTTTTCAATATATAATTCTATATAGAATAAAAAATCGTTAAAAATCAGGTATTTGTTTACATGAAAAAATATTTAGCAGGAGGTGTTAAACATTACCTGTCACATTAGCTGACACCAAAAAACAGGGTACCCACACGGCATTTTCGGACTTTTTCCATCTGCAAACAGGGCTACCCTCAAATCCACGTGTTTTCACTGTGTTTATAAACACCTCGAGTGCACTACAGGAAGTAGCCTCCTATGCCATGAAAAAAATAGTTCCTGTCAAAAACAGTTATTTATTCACAAAGTACATAAAATTTACTAGGCACAGGTACCAAAGTTGTAAAAATGGCATGAAAGAAAATAGAAAAACGTCTCAAAAGAAAAGAAAATCAATTTTATATATATGGACCTACATTTGACTAAGTTCATTTTGATTGGTCAATTACCGGTGTGATACCTTGAAGGACCTTTGAAGGTGTTCGATTTTTTCCATTTTTGCACCTGAGATTCATTAAATAATTGTCCCCAACATCCTTAAGTCTGGTGATCTAAATCTCCTTATTTCTGAAGATATGAAGCATTTATCTCCCTTACTCCAGAGCAGTCAAGAATAACACACAGAGCACTTTAGAAGCAGTTTTTTTGTGCATCTTTTGAACCAGAATTTCATTATTAAAAGAATAAGCTTGGCAACCAATTTTTTATCTGTGGAGAGTATATGCTTTGTTCTTCACCACAAACAGAAAAGAGTTTACAAGTCTAAGACCATTATGTAATTATTACATAACAAAGTTGCATTTTCCCCTTCAAAGAATGAACAAAAATACAGAAATTGTTAAATACTGGGTTGATAATGAAAACTGTATCTGGTCAATTTATGTTCCAAATAAAGCCTAGGTATTTGTCTACAAGCTGCTGTGCAGAAGTTTATCTAAATGCTGTGTTGTAACTCAGGGCAGTCAAAATCATATCAGCATCTAGGGAGGTTCTTCACAGCTCCCACACTCCATTAAACTGGCTTTGATGATAAGAAACTGGAGACAACAATTCAGATGTAATTTATTGTTGTGATTTATGTAACTGGCTTTCTCTTAAGACACAAATTAGCCATGAAATTTCAATTTAACATGCATAATTATTCTCTTTTCATGGATTTACTCAGGAATTCCAAAGGTGTTTAATGAATTTCCATGATTTATGCAAGATTATATCTTTTTGTTTCAACAAATTTACATAAAAAATAAACATTTAAATTTTAAAATAAAAATTTTAAACATTTTTATGAGTTTGAACACTTTTCTATGTGACAAAATGCATCACAGAGACCAGATTCAGGACATCCTCCATGATTCTATGAGGTGGGTGGGTGTACAAAAACTGCTGATAAAATTTATAGGAAGTGGTCTGAGAAGAAAGGTGCACTTTATTAGCTGAATTATAGTTATTCTGATATTTTAATTATGTAAATATGCCAAATTTCTTCATCAGTTAAATTTGGAATTTATTAATATTTCAGTACAATGATATACTTAATAGATCATGCTCATATAAGCCTCAATGAGTGAGACTTAATTCAAAAGTGACAGTCAAAACCTACATATAAATGAAAAAATAACAAAAAACAGTCTCCGACAAACTGAAAAAACATGAATGTCAGCTGCGAAAGCATGAATAAAGTCCTGAGAACCACAAGAGGCATGCCATGGTGCTAAGTGACATTCCACACTACATGTATGATGCATGGTTAGAACTCAGCATAAGTGTTATCATGCAGACCCTGACAGTATTTCAGAAATTTTTGGTCATAACCTTCCTTACTGTGAAAAATTCTTAATGAATTTTACTTATGTAGCTTATGTATTAAGTTTATTAGACAGATCTGACTCATTTCATTATTTTTATTCTTCCAATGCAGTAATATATGTATCACTGGAGGTGTGAATAAATTAAAATAAATCATGTGTCTGTAGAAATTATCATTCTGTGAGAACATATTTTACTTATTTACATTTTATCGCAGTTGTCGCTTGTGCTGAAAATTCATTCGTAAACCTAGAATTAGTCTATTTTTGAAAAATCAGCTTTAACACCCTTTACCGCAAAGTCTGTAGACACAATAATTGACTGCAGTCAGCTGGTGCAAATAATGTTTAGTCATATAAAATGAAAAAACAATATTCTCTGACTTTTTCCCACATTTTAGATGAATAATGCTACCTTTTTGGTCATATTTTAAAGTTTTGAGTGTAAAAAATAACCTATTGTTAATTTTTACACAGAAATCTGTGAAAAAAAATGTAAATTCTAATTCTAATTTTAAGATTGTGTGTTTTCAAACAAAAAGTTCATAAAATCACATATTTTGTTGAAATATGCCTTTTAAAAATGAAAAATGTCTTTAATAAGGATTAAAATGATTTTTCATAATCACCTTCAAGGTATCACACCGGTAATTGTTTTCACTATATAATTCTATATAGAATAAAAAATCGTTAAAAATCGGGTATTTGTTTACATGAAAAAATATTTAGCAGGAGGTGTTAAACATTACCTGTCACATTAGCTGACACCAAAAAACAGGGTACCCACACGGCATTTTCGGACTTTTTCCATCTGCAAACACGGCTACCCTCAAATCCACGTGTTTTCACTGTGTTTATAAACACCTCGAGTGCACTACGGGAAGTAGCCTCCTATGACATGAAAAAAATAGTTCCTGTCAAAAACCTTTATTTATTCTCAAAGTACATAAAATTTACTAGGCACAGGTACCAAAGTTGTAAAAATGGCATGAAAGAAAATAGAAAAACGTCTCAAAAGAAAAGAAAATCAATTTTATATATATGGACCTACTTTTGACTATGTTCATTTTGATTGGTCAATTACCGGTGTGATACCTTGAAGGGCCTTTGAAGGTGTTCGATTTTTTCCATTTTTGCACCTGAGATTCGTTAAATAATTGTCCCCAACATCCTTAAGTCTGGTGATCTAAATCCCCTTATTTCTGAAGATATGAAGCATTTATCTCCCTTACTCCAGAGCAGTCAAGAATAACACACAGAGCACTTTAGAAGCAGTTTTTTGTGCATCTTTTGAACCAGAATTTCATTATTAAAAGAATAAGCTTGGCAACCAATTTTTTATCTGTGGAGAGTATATGCTTTGTTCTTCACCACAAACAGAAAAGAGTTTACAAGTCTATGACCATTATGTAATTATTACATAACAAAGTTGCATTTTCCCCTTCAAAGAATGAACAAAAATACAGAAATTGTTAAATACTGGGTTGATAATGAAAACTGTATCTGGTCAATTTATGTTCCAAATAAAGCCTAGGTATTTGTCTACAAGCTGCTGTGCAGAAGTTTATCTAAATGCTGTGTTGTAACTCAGGGCAGTCAAAATCATATCAGCATCTAGGGAGGTTCTTCACAGCTCCCACACTCCATTAAACTGGCTTTGATGATAAGAAACTGGAGACAACAATTCAGATGTAATTTATTGTTGTGATTTATGTAACTGGCTTTCTCTTAAGACACAAATTAGCCATGAAATTTCAATTTAACATGCATAATTATTCTCTTTTCATGGATTTACTCAGGAATTCCAAAGGTGTTTAATGAATTTCCATGATTTATGCAAGATTATATCTTTTTGTTTCAACAAATTTACATAAAAAATGAACATTTAAATTTTAAAATAAAAATTTTAAACATTTTTATGAGTTTGAACACTTTTCTATGTGACAAAATGCATCACAGAGACCAGATTCAGGACATCCTCCATGATTCTTTGAGGTGGGTGGGTGTACAAAAACTGCTGATAAAATTTATAGGAAGTGGTCTGAGAAGAAAGGTGCACTTTATTAGCTGAATTATAGTTATTCTGATATTTTAATTATGTAAATATGCCAAATTTCTTCATCAGTTAAATTTGGAATTTATTAATATTTCAGTACAATGATATACTTAATAGATCATGCTCATATAAGCCTCAATGAGTGAGACTTAATTCAAAAGTGACAGTCAAAACCTACATATAAATGAAAAAATAACAAAAAACAGTCTCCGACAAACTGAAAAAACATGAATGTCAGCTGCGAAAGCATGAATAAAGTCCTGAGAACTACAAGAGGCATGGCATGGTGCTAAGTGACATTCCACACTACATGTATGATGCATGGTTAGAACTCAGCATAAGTGTTATCATGCAGACCCTGACAGTATTTCAGAAATTTTTGGTCATAACCTTCCTTACTGTGAAAAATTCTTAATGAATTTTACTTATGTAGCTTATGTATTAAGTTTATTAGACAGATCTGACTCATTTCATTATTTTTATTCTTCCAATGCAGTAATATATGTATCACTGGAGGTGTGAATAAATTAAAATAAATCATGTGTCTGTAGAAATTATCATTCTGTGAGAACATATTTTACTTATTTACATTTTATCGCAGTTGTCGCTTGTGCTGAAAATTCATTCGCAAACCTAGAATTAGTCTATTCTTGAAAAATCAGCTTTAACACCCTTTACCGCAAAGTCTGTAGACACTATAATTGACTGCGGTCAGCTGGTGCAAATAATGTTTAGTCATATAAAATGAAAAAACATTTTTCTCTGACTTTTTCCCACATTTTAGATGCATAATGCTACCTTTTTACTCATATTTTAAAGTTTTGAGTGTAAAAAATAACCTATTATTAATTTTTACACAGAAATCTGTGAAAAAAAATGTAAATTCTAATTCTAATTTTAAAATTGTGTGTTTTCAAACAAAAAGTTAATAAAATCACATATTTTGTTGAAATATGCCTTTTAAAAATGAAAAATGTCTTTAATAAGGATTAAAATGATTTTTCATAATCACCTTCAAGGTATCACACCGGTAATTGTTTTCACTATATAATTCTATATAGAATAAAAAATCGTTAAAAATCGGGTATTTGTTTACATGAAAAAATATTTAGCAGGAGGTGTTAAACATTACCTGTCACATTAGCTGACACCAAAAAACAGGGTACCCACACGGCATTTTCGGACTTTTTCCATCTGCAAACACGGCTACCCTCAAATCCACGTGTTTTCACTGTGTTTATAAACACCTCGAGTGCACTACAGGAAGTAGCCTCCTATGACATGAAAAAAATAGTTCCTGTCAAAAACCTTTATTTATTCTCAAAGTACATAAAATTTACTAGGCACAGGTACCAAAGTTGTAAAAATGGCATGAAAGAAAATAGAAAAACGTCTCAAAAGAAAAGAAAATCAATTTTATATATATGGACCTACATTTGACTAAGTTCATTTTGATTGGTCAATTACCGGTGTGATACCTTGAAGGGCCTTTGAAGGTGTTCGATTTTTTCCATTTTTGCACCTGAGATTCGTTAAATAATTGTCCCCAACATCCTTAAGTCTGGTGATCTAAATCCCCTTATTTCTGAAGATATGAAGCATTTATCTCCCTTACTCCAGAGCAGTCAAGAATAACACACAGAGCACTTTAGAAGCAGTTTTTTGTGCATCTTTTGAACCAGAATTTCATTATTAAAAGAATAAGCTTGGCAACCAATTTTTTATCTGTGGAGAGTATATGCTTTGTTCTTCACCACAAACAGAAAAGAGTTTACAAGTCTAAGACCATTATGTAATTATTACATAACAAAGTTGCATTTTCCCCTTCAAAGAATGAACAAAAATACAGAAATTGTTAAATACTGGGTTGATAATGAAAACTGTATCTGGTCAATTTATGTTCCAAATAAAGCCTAGGTATTTGTCTACAAGCTGCTGTGCAGAAGTTTATCTAAATGCTGTGTTGTAACTCAGGGCAGTCAAAATCATATCAGCATCTAGGGAGGTTCTTCACAGCTCCCACACTCCATTAAACTGGCTTTGATGATAAGAAACTGGAGACAACAATTCAGATGTAATTTATTGTTGTGATTTATGTAACTGGCTTTCTCTTAAGACACAAATTAGCCATGAAATTTCAATTTAACATGCATAATTATTCTCTTTTCATGGATTTACTCAGGAATTCCAAAGGTGTTTAATGAATTTCCATGATTTATGCAAGATTATATCTTTTTGTTTCAACAAATTTACATAAAAAATAAACATTTAAATTTTAAAATAAAAATTTTAAACATTTTTATGAGTTTGAACACTTTTCTATGTGACAAAATGCATCACAGAGACCAGATTCAGGACATCCTCCATGATTCTTTGAGGTGGGTGGGTGTACAAAAACTGCTGATAAAATTTAAAGGAAGTGGTCTGAGAAGAAAGGTGCACCTTATTAGCTGAATTATAGTTATTCTGATATTTTAACTCTGTAAATATGCCAAATTTCTTCATCAGTTAAATTTAGAATTTATTAATATTTCAGTACAATGATATACTTAATAGATCATGCTCATATAAGCCTCAATGAGTGAGACTTAATTCAAAAGTGACAGTCAACACTTACATATAAATGAAAAAATAACAAAAAACAGTCTCCGGCAAACTGAAAAAACATGAATGTCAGCTGCGAAAGCATGAATAAAGTCCTGAGAACCACAAGAGGCATGCCATAATGCTTAGTGACATTCTGAACTACATGTATGATGCATGGTTAGAACTCAGCATAAGTGTTATCATGCAGACCCGGGCAGTATTTCAGGATTTTTTGGTCATAACCATCCTTACTGTGAAAAATTCTTAATAAATTTTACTGATGTAGCTTATGTATTAAGTTTGTTAGACAGATCTGACTCATTTCATTATTTCTATTCTTCCAATTCAGTAATATATGTATCACTGGAGGTGTGAATAAATTAAAATAAATCATGTGTCTGTAGAAATTATCATTCTGTGAGAACATATTTTACTTGTTTACATTTTATCGCAGTTGTCGCTTGTGCTGAAAATTCATTCGCAAACCTAGAATTAGTCAATTTTTGAAAAATCAGCTTTATAACACCCTTTACCGCAAAGTCTGTAGACACAATAATTGACTGCGGTCAGCTGGTGCAAATAATGTTTAGTCATATAAAATGAAAAAACAATTTTCTCTGACTTTTTCCCACATTTTAGATGCATAATGCTACCTTTTTAGTCATATTTTAAAGTTTTGAGTGTAAAAAATAACCTATTATTAATTTTTACACAGAAATCTGTGAAAAAAAATGTAAATTCTAATTCTAATTTTAAAATTGAGTGTTTTCAAACAAAAAGTTAATAAAATCACATATTTTGTTGAAATATGCCTTTTAAAAGTGAAAAATGACTTTAATAAGGATTAAAATGATTTTTCATAATCACCTTCAAGGTATCACACCGGTAATTATTTTCACTATATAATTCTATATAGAATAAAAAATCGTTAAAAATCGGGTATTTGTTTACATGAAAAAATATTTAGCAGGAGGTGTTAAACATTACCTGTCACATTAGCTGACACCAAAAAACAGGGTACCCACACGGCATTTTCGGACTTTTTCCATCTGCAAACACGGCTACCCTCAAATCCACGTGTTTTCACTGTGTTTATAAACACCTCGAGTGCACTACAGGAAGTAGCCTCCTATGCCATGAAAAAAATAGTTCCTGTCAAAAACCTTTATTTATTCTCAAAGTACATAAAATTTACTAGGCACAGGTACCTAAGTTGTAAAAATGGCATGAAAGAAAATAGAAAAACGCCTCAAAAGAAAAGAAAATTTATTTTATATATATGGACCTACATTTGACTAAGTTCATTTTGATTGGTCAATTACCGGTGTGATACCTTGAAGGACCTTTGAAGGTGTTCGATTTTTTCCATTTTTGCACCTGAGATTCCTTAAATAATTGTCCCCAACATCCTTAAGTCTGGTGATCTAAATCTCCTTATTTCTGAAGATATGAAGCATTTATCTCCCTTACTCCAGAGCAGTCAAGAATAACACACAGAGCACTTTAGAAGCAGTTTTTTGAGCATCTTTTGAACCAGAATTTCACCATTAAAAGAATAAGCTTGGCAACCAATTTTTTATCTGTGGAGAGTATATGCTTTGTTCTTCACCACAAACAGAAAAGAGTTTACAAGTCTAAGACCATTATGTAATTATTACATAACAAAGTTGCATTTTCCCCTTCAAAGAATGAACAAAAATACAGAAATTGTTAAATACTGGGTTGATAATGAAAACTGTATCGGGTCAATTTATGTTCCAAATAAAGCCTGGGTATTTGTCTACAAGCTGCTGTGCAAAAGATTATCTAAATGCTGTGTTGTAACTCAGGGCAGTCAAAATCATATCAGCATCTAGGGAGGTTCTTCACAGCTCCCACACTCCATTAAACTGGCTTTGATGATAAGAAACTGGAGACAACAATTCAGATGTAATTTATTGTTGTGATTTATGTAACTGGCTTTCTCTTAAGACACAAATTAGCCATGAAATTTCAATTTAACATGCATAATTATTCTCTTTTCATGGATTTACTCAGGAATTCAAAAGGTGTTTAATGAATTTCCATGATTTATGCAAGATTATATCTTTTTGTTTTAACAAATTTACATAAAAAATAAACATTAAGATTTTAAAATAAAAATTTCAAACATTTTTATGAGTTTGAACACTTTTCTATGTGACAAAATGCATCACAGAGACCAGATTCAGTACATCCTCCATGATTCTTTGAGGTGGGTGGGTGTACAAAAACTGCTGATAAAATTTATAGGAAGTGGTCTGAGAAGAAAGGTGCACCTTATTAGCTGAATTATAGTTATTCTGATATTTTAATTATGTAAATATGCCAAATTTCTTCATCAGTTAAATTTAGAATTTATTAATATTTCAGTACAATGATATACTTAATAGATCATGCTCATATAAGCCTCAATGAGTGAGACTTAATTCAAAAGTGACAGTCAACACTTACATATAAATGAAAAAATAACAAAAAACAGTCTCCGGCAAACTGAAAAAACATGAATGTCAGCTGCGAAAGCATGAATAAAGTCCTGAGAACCACAAGAGGCATGCCATAATGCTTAGTGACATTCTGAACTACATGTATGATGCATGGTTAGAACTCAGCATAAGTGTTATCATGCAGACCCGGGCAGTATTTCAGGATTTTTTGGTCATAACCATCCTTACTGTGAAAAATTCTTAATGAATTTTACTGATGTAGCTTATGTATTAAGTTTGTTAGACAGATCTGACTCATTTCATTATTTCTATTCTTCCAATTCAGTAATATATGTATCACTGGAGGTGTGAATAAATTAAAATAAATCATGTGTCTGTAGAAATTTTCATTCTGTGAGAACATATTTTACTTGTTTACATTTTATCGCAGTTGTCGCTTGTGCTGAAAATTCATTCGCAAACCTAGAATTAGTCAATTTTTGAAAAATCAGCTTTATAACACCCTTTACCGCAAAGTCTGTAGACACAATAATAGACTGCGGTCAGCTGGTGCAAATAATGTTTAGTCATATAAAATGAAAAACCAATATTCTCTGACTTTTTTTCACATTTTAGATGCATAATGCTACCTTTTTAGTCATATTTTAAAGTTTTGAGTGTAAAAAATAACCTATTGTTAATTTTTACACAGAAATCTGTGAAAAAAAATGTAATTCTAATTCTAATTTTAAAATTGTGTGTTTTCAAACAAAAAGTTAATAAAATCATATATTTTGTTGAAATATTCCTTATAAAAATGAAAAATGTCTTTAATAAGGATTAAAATGATTTTTCATAATCACCTTCAAGGTATCACACCGGTAATTGTTTTCACTATATAATTCTATATAGAATAAAAAATCGTTAAAAATCGGGTATTTGTTTACATGAAAAAATATTTAGCAGGAGGTGTTAAACATTACCTGTCACATTAGCTGACACCAAAAAACAGGGTACCCACACGGCATTTTCGGACTTTTTCCATCTGCAAACACGGCTACCCTCAAATCCACGTGTTTTCACTGTGTTTATAAACACCTCGAGTGCACTACAGGAAGTAGCCTCCTATGCCATGAAAAAAATAGTTCCTGTCAAAAACCTTTATTTATTCTCAAAGTACATAAAATTTACTAGGCACAGGTACCAAAGTTGTAAAAATGGCATGAAAGAAAATAGAAAAACGTCTCAAAAGAAAAGAAAATCAATTTTATATATATGGACCTACATTTGACTAAGTTCATTTTGATTGGTCAATTACCGGTGTGATACCTTGAAGGACCTTTGAAGGTGTTCGATTTTTTCCATTTTTGCACCTGAGATTCATTAAATAATTGTCCCCAACATCCTTAAGTCTGGTGATCTAAATCCCCTTATTTCTGAAGATATGAAGCATTTATCTCCCTTACTCCAGAGCAGTCAAGAATAACACACAGAGCACTTTAGAAGCAGTTTTTTGTGCATCTTTTGAAGCAGAATTTCATCATTAAAAGAATAAGCTTGGCAACCAATTTTTTATCTGTGGAGAGTATATGCTTTGTTCTTCACCACAAACAGAAAAGAGTTTACAAGTCTAAGACCATTATGTAATTATTACATAACAAAGTTGCATTTTCCCCTTCAAAGAATGAACAAAAATACAGAAATTGTTAAATACTGGGTTGATAATGAAAACTGTATCTGGTCAATTTATGTTCCAAATAAAGCCTAGGTATTTGTCTACAAGCTGCTGTGCAGAAGTTTATCTAAATGCTGTGTTGTAACTCAGGGCAGTCAAAATGATATCAGCATCTAGGGAGGTTCTTCACAGCTCCCACACTCCATTAAACTGGCTTTGATGATAAGAAACTGGAGACAACAATTCAGATGTAATTTATTGTTGTGATTTATGTAACTGGCTTTCTCTTAAGACACAAATTAGCCATGAAATTTCAATTTAACATGCATAATTATTCTCATCATGAATTTACTCAGGAATTCCAAAGGTGTTTAAGGAATTTCCATGATTTATGCAAGATTATATCTTTTTGGTTCAACAAATTTACATAAAAAAATAAACATTTAAATTTTAAAATATAAATATTAAACATTTTTATGAGTTTGAACACTTTTCTATGTGACAAAATGCATCACAGAGACCAGATTCAGGACATCCTCCATAATTCTTTGAGGTGGCTGGGTGTACAAAAACTGCTGATAAAATCAGAATCAAAATAAGTTCATTTTGATTGGTCAATTACCGGTGTGATACCTTGAATATTATTACATGTATATTACGGCAAACGGGCAATAACTCTTGCTAAATTCACATTCCGAAAGGAGGCAACTAAACAGTCCAAAACATCCTCCAGCATTGTTTCGAAATTGAATTTCAGGGGGGAAAAATCCTGGAAGTTTCTGTCACCATATGACTATGAACGTTGAATTGTAAAAATGGACAACAGGAGCCCAGGAAAGTTGTTGGATACTTTTGTATGAGTTGATGTTGAAAATTATAGCATTTATATAAAATTCCTTACAACTAAAACGTTCTGTAATTATATTAACATACACTGTATAGGTGTTGCTGTCAATACGTGCACGTTTACATTCATGATAATCTTGGGACCTCCGAAGTTTTACTTTTACAAGAGAAGCGGTGGGAAATCAGTAGAATGCAAGGGAATCTTTGGACTACATTGAAGCCCGTGGGTCTAGAGTGAAAAACCTGGTGGGGATTCTTAATAATAAAAGGTCTTTTTCCTTGATCCTTTTTGTTATACAATAAAAAAAAACAAATTGGGACGGGGTGGGGGTGGGGGTCTATCCCCCTTTGCTTTATAACTTGTATATTAGTAAAATGTAAATAATTTCGGAGTTTTGGAGAAGTGCATATTTTAACCAACATTTATCATGAATGGCATGTGAGAGGGTAACGTCGAAAAATAACTCAAACAGAATTGAAGGATATCAAGAGATAATTATAGACGTTCTTATATTTTTTTGTATGTTATCAATTCATTCATAGCCCTATTTTTATATATTTGCTACATGTTAGTAATACTTTTTAGCCCAACCCGTGTATCACCTCGCATTCCGAACATTATTCAGACGACGGGATAAAAAGTACATTTCTGAGAACTTAAGCTGACGCAATTTCTCCTTTATCTCTGCAAACATCTTGTACAGCTCAAGTCGAAAAATAAGATTAAGTATATTGTACCATTTGCTAACAGTTGCAACTGAAGAAAGTTATATAAAAAGCAAGATTTTAAAATGGAATGTACAATACTGTTAATTAATTTAAAATGTTTAAAGAAACTTCTATCTCTGAATCCATCTTATTTCTAAAACAAATGAAAAAATATTATGAAATATTTGTTTAGCAATGATATGAGGGAATATTAAAATTCATCTAGGAAATTTCAGTGTTGTAGAGTAAACCCCAATGCGAGCCCCCCCCCCCCCCCCCCTGGAATTTGCACTCTAAAGTAGGATTTTACTCCGAAGGGAATTCCACATAAGAGTATTTCATCGGAAAAGGATTTCCCCTCTTTAATCATATCGTCGAGATCACCGTTTTTACTCAGATTCTTTTTTATGAAAGTCAACTGATGGACATATGAGTTTTTCGCCTCAAGAATTTTAAACTTACATGTAGTTTGATATCTTAAAACATATTGTTCAAAGCAAATAATAATTTATGTTTGTTTAATGTTCCTTTGAGAATTTATGGAAATTGAAAATTTATATAGTAAAGTGCATTTGAACGAAGCGAAAGTTTTTTTTTTTTTTTTTTTTTTTTTTTTTTTGAAAAGTAAAGTGTTGTACACAATATAATAATGGAAAGATTAACAGCCTTACAATTTCATTTCTCGTTTCATTCATTTTTTCGAGGAAATACTTCAAAAAATTGAATTTGTCTTGTACGTTTTCATTTGTACAATTAAATTACATTTTATCATAGAATTTTATAAAATAACTGCATTATGAAAGAAAATTTCAATGTAATTCCCACAAAATATGCATTATACATTAAAATTAATTCAGTAAAACTGTAAATACGAATAAAAACAAGATTACGTATAGCGATTTTTTTAATCCTCGGCAAGATTTTTAATAATTCCTTGTAAATTTTTATGGATTTTACAAACTCAGGTAAAGAATATCGACAAACATTTTTTATAACTAATTTTCAAAGATTTTCAACTTAAAGATATGAACTGATATTCTTTTTGCATATGTATTCAGTATTTATATTTGAATTTTATTTAATAAAAAAATCTTCGTAGTAATCTTGGCATTTTCTAAACTCCCTCTTTATGTTTATGTGTATAGTTATGTACTTAAACAAGGAATTTTAATGAAAACGACTTTGCCTAACATTTATGATCATTTGTCGTATACCTATGGGGCATTATTTATTTAACCATGACCATGAATTTCAATTAAAAAATCTAAAGAAAATTCCAACGATTATAAGACAGTGATGAATTATTATCCACACTATAATTTGCCCTATTTTTTTAGCTGCTGTTATAGACGGACGTGCATAAATGTGTTACATAAATATCAGTACTGATTTCCAATGGTTATCGTTCTTGCGAAATATTTGAATTCATTTTTGCCCCTTTAGGTTACATTAAAGATATATAGCTCGAATCTACATCTAAAAAGTCAAATAATAAGTGAATGTATTTTTTTGCAAAGCATTTTCAAAGGTCATGAGGTCGTAAAAGCTTTGTAAAATTCATTCTCCCATGCAATGTAGTTTATGAGCCAAATATTTTATATCAGATTTATATACTTCTTACAGTATTCAAGATATAAGGTTTGACCGACAGACGGACGGACAGCTAGACAGATAGACAGTCAGACAGTACAGTCGCCTGACAAAGCGATCCCTTTCCATGCGACACAATTTTGTAAGATACATGGATAATACATGCTTAAGCTATGATACTTCGTCGAGTTAGGTTACCCAGGGTCGTGACACCCAAACCATGGTATAATTTACAATACACCACAAAACAGTCAAAATATGTATGGTTTATCTATTACATATGACATGTATAAATCTGTCTTCATTTGACAATGGAATCGTTTTGAATCCCAAAATTGTTTTGTCCAAGATGACTGTAACCATGAAACGGAATGTATTGTTATGGACGATGGTATAACGAGAAGGATTTTTTTGTTTGTGACAATGTAGCACAATGTATGGTGACAGTGACAACATAATGGGATGCTTTAATTATATAATGCTTCCTTCTGTTTCACTTCCCGGTGGAGATACAAAAAACAAAAAAAAATATTGAAGTTTTATTTTCTTATTTCCAAGAAAACAAAACAAAAATAGTTAGAACATATCATTATTGATGTTAAGTTGTTTTATTATATTATAATAATTTTGTTATACGGATAAAATTAATTTTTCTAACCATATACATGTAAAAGAAAATATTATGTTTTTAAGAAAAAAAAGTTTGAGAATGTTATTCAACATCTTTATAATCTGTTGTTACACTCTGTAATGCAACCCTCGACACGTACAATATCGAGTGCTTGTACACACATCTTTTGAAGAGAGCTGTATTCTCAGATCTTTGAATCATGCATCATTCTTATTTAGTGAGCTTAGCACTGTTGTGTCATGGATTGCATGCATCGTACTTATTTATCTCGTTTTTTATTTTTAATTTTATTTTTAAAAGTTCCTTATTGTGAAAGTATAGCAAGACATTTTGACATAGTTTTGTTATCTAAAACATAGGTGCATATAGGGAAGTGATTCACAAGCGTTTATCTATTTAGTGCTTATAAGCAGATTCAGGGACGATCCAAAATGGAGGAAGCTGACTTTTCTTATGTGAATCAAAGTTTTGTTGCAGATACCATCGAACGACTCAAGGAAAAGGATTGCGATTATGGAAATAGGTCGGGCTCAAATCTTCCGAGTAATACATGTAGTTCAATAGAAGAAGACAACATAAACGATAAATATAACAATTCTGTTCAGGATGATGGCAATATAAGCGATAATGTTCTGGATGAAGAGATTCCCGAGTCCGATTCCAGTGAAGGGAGTGACCATTCTTACAATTATCCAGACATCACCCCGGAACTGATTCCAGAAAAGATGCTCCGTTCTTGTTCATGCACAGACGTGGAAGGGTCCGAAGGGAACCAATATTACTCGTTACCAAACATGCATAATATGCCAAGAAAAAAGTCCAATAGATCATCATTATGCAGTGTTCACAGTTACATAGATCTGGAGGAATTAACGGGTGCTTCAAAAGGTAGATCTACCAAGAGTTCAAAACGAAGGACTGGGAGGAAGAGTAAAAAATACAATCCCCAACTCATTTGTTCAGGAATCACATCAGTTGGCGAAGATAAAATTGTCATAGTAACGAAAACAGGTGACATTTTAGTGTTTGGAAATTCTGGAAAGCTGATATATTTGACAGAATTCATGGAAGCATTTGAGGATGTAACAACATTGTCCAAGAACGAAGTTGCAGCATCTTGTGGATTTTGCATTAAAGTCTTTAGAGTTGAAGAAAACAAGATTGAAGAAATTGAAGAAAAATGTATTGACTATCAATATTCCGGGGAGATAACGGTGCACGCAATACATTTTGTCCCAAAGAAGTTCGTCATTTCCTGCAATCTACAATCCTGTATTCAACATAACTCTTTTATTCGCATTATAAACATGAAAGGACAAACGCTGAAAAACTTTGAAATACCGAATATTATTTCCCCTGGACACCTGTGTACCTCGGATGATGGACATTTAATATTTCTGACGGACCAAGTTCAGAAAAAAGTCATAGCTCTCCAAAGTACTGGCTCAATCAAATGGGAAATTCCAACTGACCGTGTGCCACAGTATGTGACTCTTTGCGAAAGGAAAACTGTTGTCGTTTCATTTGAAA